CTTTGTTTGTTTAAAATCAAACAAAACACCCGAACCCCGAAAAAATAGTTTTTTATGCAAATCCACGTTTATTTTGAAATGAGCCGTTGCGACTTCCGACTGATTTCGATAGAGCGGGTCCTCTTATACTTTCAATTCTCCTAATTTATAAGGGCGTGTGGCGCAGTGGATTTGTGCGTTGGTGTTGGGATCAGGGGAGCACAGGTTCAAACCCCACTGCAGTCAGCATGTCGTTGTGTCCCTGGGCAAGACACTTCACCCCAAATTGCTCCTGTGGGGATTGCCCACAGTATTGAGTAAGTAAGTCGCTTTGGATAAAAGCGTCTAACATGTAATGTAATGTAAATGTAATTTAGTTTTCCAATTTCCTTTTTTTCAGCAAATGATTAATGACCAAGCCATGATTCAGATCTAAATGACTTACATCAAATGAGAAAGCATAGTCCAGCTAAAAACAAGTTTACAATCATATTCTATGCCATTTCTGGATGCTGGGAGCATTTTCTTATAATTCATCATAACAATCTTGCAGTATCCCAATGAATCTGTTTTGGGGGCTTTTTGAAATTATAGATTTTATTAGCATATGCCTATTATGTAGGACTTAAATATTTGCCAAGCTGGTTGAAGGGTAACCTCCCATATTTCTGTTTAAAAAGTATACTCTTGTCTTTCACATTAAATATCAATTATTTGGATATGTATAATGGCTGTCTTATGTAAATTCTCTTTTATGAATATTAACTTTGTAACACTACATTTTGACTGCAGAGTGAAATGACTTTCTTCATTATTAAACTATGTTAAACTTTTGATAGATTCCAAAGATAACAAAACATATTAGAAACTATTTCCATTTCTTTCACGAGTGTAACCGGGGACAATTCCAGCACATGTCGGAGCGGAAATGAAGCAGAAAAGACATTATGCAAATATAATTATGATAGGGTGCCAATTTATCACACACCGAGGTAATTTACCAGACCCCGAAACAATTCTGTTAATTTAATATGCTGCAAGCAACAAAAATGTTCCTGAAATTGCATATTGACCAAAGACATGCTTTATAGCAGCTATAGCTCCGGATTCTTTCCTGAACAACCTGAATACATAACACATAAAGGACACGCATAGTTTAAAGCTATTTTAAAAAGGCATATATTCAACAAAAAAAAGGCATATATTCAACAGGATCTGTTAATATCATCTCTAAATACCAATAACACTGTATGCTTTTCCCTTCTGGTGTTTCAGTTTTAATTGCATAAATAAATCATTGAGCTGTCCAGGCAGAAAGTATTGGTGCCCATTAGTCTATTTTTATGTTTGTTGATATCGTTCAACTGCCTATTCTCTTTAAGCTTGTTCAGTTTTCTTTACTAGAGTTTCCAAACCTCCAAAGACACGGTCTATGTGAACAGTTGGAAAAATAGCATAATAACTTTAAGGAACTTAAGAGTGTTTGAAATACAGGGAGCACAGGGATATTGACCAATACATTTGGGTGAGCTGCCCAATCCACATTTCAAAACAGCCTCATAAAGATGGCTCATGAGTTGGCATAATATCGACCCACAGATATTGATCTGGCGTGGCCTTGGTGCTTACAAACCCATTTCTACTGGCAGGTATTGTTTTTCTCCATCACTGACAAAGGCCTCACGTAGGATTGGATTACTATGCCTTCAGTTATCCATGAGTCCCTACACCTAGAATCTTTCTTTTCCTCCCATAATATATTCTTGTCCTCTTTACTCCAACTCCTCTCATCAGCTGCTGTGGTGTGCTAAGAGGGGTTTGCTCATGCTGCTTTGAAATGTCCTGAAAGCACAGCACACTACAGTGTGCAAAGGCCATGACCAATGAAACTGGCAATGCATGGTACACACTGTGGGCAGAGTAACATTGAATGATGGACTGCTTAAAAAATAGGTTATTTGCCCGAGTTTATCTTATAAAAACATACAGCTTACATGCTCGATATATCGATCAAGCAGTGATATTTGTGCACACTGGTACATATGCTGCACATCTTTAAATCATCTTCCTCATCACAATACATTGCCCTCATTAAAGAGACACAACTTAAATGCTTTCCGCAAAAGGAAGAATGGGAAGTGTTTGTAATTAACTCCCATCTATTCATCGTGGGGAAGCATGAAAAGCCTGATTCAGTATTAATCAAAACATTATCCTGAGCTAGCTTGAGCGTGCCAAGCTGGCAGCCATTTCTCATCAATGATGTCACATTAGCGATCTGAAGCTTGACACTGGATTATTACTCTCCAGTCCTGAGTTCAATTAGAGCTCAGTAAACACTCAATAAGCTTTGTAATGACAGGGGTTGTGTTGATGATGAAACAATCATTTTTTATTATTATTTATTTAATACATAATTAACATTGTAAATCTAAAGGAGTCACAATAATTTGTCCAGTAGTTATGACTGTAATACCACATAGAGCCACAGTAGGTAACTGGATGATTCATCCCTGCCATGACCTTGTTCATTTCAAGGCCATTGAGGAAGGCTGGGATAGCAGTGACTGGCTGAATCATTGCTGTGGTTGAGTTGATTTATATATAGCGGCTTTACTAAAGACACCTTATTATTTATAAAATGGTTTTCTTAACTGTGCCTTAGTTGTAGCTGGGGGAAAAGGGAAGAAAGAACAAGCAGCTACACTGCACTTGATGGAGTCAGGAGGAAAAAATGAGCTATTTGTTCAGATTATGTGGAGTGGCTCCACAGGGGGAAGAGAGGACATCTAAAAAATCCCCTGTACTAGCAAGGGATCTTTGTCAACTGTCTCTTTTTGGCTATTTTTAAGCAATATTTATTGAAATGTGTACTCCCTCAAAGTTATAATCTAACTATGTTTTAGCAGATTGTTAAAAGCAGAGTGAGCTACATGTGGTGCCCAAGGCTTTATCTGTGTTTACAATATAAAAACCCAGTAATTGCATTGCGGTCTTTACAAACAACATCATTTCACTGAAAGGAAAGAGAGGCACAACAGAAAAGCCTTTTAGGGATATTGACATTCTTAACTATAGTTATTAATTTACTGGCCAGGCTTTTTGCAGTCGCTACAAAAATATAATCCTAGATATAGAACTTTTTGTAAAGCAACCATGAAGCATTTAAAATAACAATCACAATGCTGAAATTAGGTATTTGTCCATTTGTTGGATCAGTTTTTCAACTCAACATTTTCAGGGGAAAATAAGCAGCAATATCTTAAGGCTTTGAGCATCTTACTTCACCCAGTGAAAGTATATTGAACGAATTATAGTTGATTCCTTGAGAAATATTGTATCTTTAAAACTCAAAAGGAAATGAATAAATTGTACTAGGCAGAGAACTGTGGCCCAGTGCATTCAATCAAATGATGTGACCTGGAATTCTGCTGCCTCTATCACTTCTTATACAAAAGTGATAGCACTAATGTAATGTCAAATAATACATTATTATTGTCAAAACTCTAGGCCAAGGCCTCTAAATGTGCTGCTCACCTCACCTTAGAGTGAGTGTTAGACAGGGCTGATGAGAGTCATGCTACTGTAGATGGGAATTGGATGAATTGCTTGTTATTACTGTGAGGATCAGATCAATGGCCACAGCCAAGAAACCGTGGGCATTGTGTTGGCAGAGCGCTGGTGTGAAGTGCTGGCCCAATCACATCTGAAGTAGTTCAACAGGATGCTTGGTTGAGTGGTTGTGCTTTGAGAAAAATGATTTTCTCTGAATCAAGTATTTCTTATTTTCAACCCAATTTATCACACTTGTGACCATTAGTATGCACAGGTTTTAAATCCAAAGAAACAAGGTAGAAGAAAATACTACAAATTAAATAAGTTATGATTATCATATCATACAGTCAGATGGTGCAGCCAGCACCAAATAACAAATTAAACAAATAAAATAAACGATGTATGCTTTTACAGTTGATAGTGAGGAACAATGCACAGTACTGTCTCTTTTTGCTTGGTCTCTGTCTCAGTGATTTTGAGTTTTTGAGACAGTATTACATGTATAACATTCAACTTACTTATATCCTGTCAACCCTCGAGCACCTAAACCATTCTCACAGAGTTTGGAAAACTGTTCAAATTTGAGATTAGCCCTTGGCAAAAAGAAAAACGTGGTTAATTTGATTTAAATTAGGGAACACACACAAAAACATGAGGCAAGTTGATTAGTTAGTGGGCGATAAATGGTTGGCAAGGATGGAAAGCACCTTTTGAAATAATATGTTTTTATAGTTGTAGGACAATGTTAATGTGAGTTAAATCCAAACTTGACCTCTAAAAGCAAGTACCACCTCAAAAAAATATCAGCAATCCAAGTAGATAAGAAAATACTATTACACACAATGATGATGCTTGTTTTTAGAAGTTATTTAAGTTATTATCAGTGTTTTATCAGAGTCAAACTAATGAAACATTATGCCTCAGGCCATTGAGAATGAGGATTTATCAAAACAATGAGAAGCAAAGTCGTGATTCATACACATTAACAGCTGTGTAGAAACATGTTCAGTTAAAATCAGAAATCCAATTGGATCCATTGTAATTATTCAGGGTAAAGATAACTTATTTTGTAATAATTGAATTACTGCTTGTTTGAAAAGTAGGACACAGAACAGTTGCACAATGTAAATGCCCTCTACAAATAGCTCAGAAGACTAAGTATATATGTATGTATGACTCAAAGTGCTTGATATGTAAAACTTGCCCTTTTCACAACAAGAGCAACACATGTAGGTGAGCAGTGGAGGAAGCAGCCTGTGAGCTGTGAAGTGCGAGGGAGGGGTATGTGTGATAAAAGCGGTCTGATGCTGATAACTGGTCCCCGAGCGCTCATCACAGAACAATATTTTCAGCATGCCGCTAAGGTTTTCCTGCACATGGATTTACACCGTTGACGCTGCCCACATTCATTCCCAAAGCCTTAGGAATCTCAATGAATAATGAAATTGACAGGCCTCATTTGTTTGGTTGTCTGTGTAACAAAAGCCAAAGCCAGGCACAACCCTGTGAGGCATAGCCATAATCCCTGGGGATAATACTATTGAGTGCAATTGAATGGGGTTATCTGTCAGCAAGGACAGACAGATAAGAGATGACTGGTATTTGGAGACTTTTTGAATGCCTCGCAGTATAGAACAGGTGGGATGGAAGTTAATCGCCCCTGTATTGAAATGTCAGCGCTTTATGCACAGTACAGAAGGGGAGGCAGAGGCATCAAGTTAAATGGGATTTTTAACAACCTTTTGGGAATGACCAATTGTTATGGATATTTGTGGTATTGTTTTTAAAGTACTGTATTTGAAAAGAAAGAATCACCATACTATGACTATTTCTTTTATATTGTAGCCACTTTCATACAGAGAGAGTCCTACCATGTTTTGAATTTAGTATTGAGAACATCCAATAATTTGACGTTGGAATTGTATGTTATTCATAGTGTCCCTCTAGATTAATTTCTTTATAACTCTAAACGTAATAGTAAGTTTCTGTTTTTCACCTAGTTAAGGGTCGCCATGTGGTTGATATGAGTGTGTGATGTGTTTTTTTTATTTATGATTGGTTTTCTTGGCTCTTTCTTTAGAGGCATTGAGGAATATTATAAAATGTTGCTCTCTTGTAACAATGGCATAATGCGGCGATTGACCCAAGAGACAGGCTTGTACAGTAGGAGCCTTGACCTCTCTGACCTCTGCCTTGCTTCCCTTCTCCCAGTTGTTAATCTCAACATGCTGCCTTTTCATTTGGGAAAAGAGCAGAAATTAACCTTTATCCTTTCACTTTGTTGCATAATTTTCCTTTTCATTGTTGAATAAGGTCTGACCATAATATATTCAAGCTGTAAGCGTCAGTCCAATGCAATACAAGTTTCTAGAATGATTCTCAGCTTTTGTCTTGGTCAGAGACTATGAGGCTATGCCAATTTAAGGTTTAACAAATAAATATATATATCAACACATATACAGTATTGGTATAATTGTATCCAATTTTCCTCCATTCAAATAATGTTGATAACATGTAACTGAAATAATAATCAGCTTTCTTTGTTGTCCAATGGGCAAAGTGTATCTTCAAAGTTGAACACAATTATGTTGAGCAGTTTTTTCAGCCTATTTTCAGGAAGTCAGTTCACAGGCAGAAGCAAAAAGCTTATGGAAATCCGGTTTTGTCAAGTGATAAATACTATGGGAGCAAAAGGGCATTTTCCACAAACTTCGGACATGCATAATTCAGTATGACATAAATAACCAGGCCACCCTCCAACTTAGTCAGCACCCTTCAATTATTAAAGTTGTGCTTTGCAGAAGATCACCCCAAGTTCATCAGGATATGATATATACATAGCAGATTATAATGGTTAGATTACTTTTTTTAGGCAATCTCTGTTGGAGAATTTTTGAAGCATCACTTCCAGTTATGTCATAGATGGCAATAGCCCTTTTGCCCCCGTTTAAAGTGCAGACCCCCGGTTATGTTTAGTAAGGGTCAACGGCCACCCACCGACACACCTCAGCATCTAATCAACCACACCAATGGCCCCTGTCACTTGACCTTTAGACATTGCATTAAATTACACTGCACTGCATCACATTACTTCTCCTCACTCGGAGCCGATGGCTATTTTAACTGAGTGTGTATGAAAGACGGTGGCTATACACTGTTTCTGTGGTTTCAGAAATAAATGTACACTTAACAATATTACTTCCTCTGCTAGGATGGAGCAAATTCGCATTAACAGACTTAATTCACAAGATTGCTTCATTAAGGTGTGGAAACCGTTTTTGACATTGCTGGAGGATAATTAATCATTTAATTAAAGAGCTCTGCTGCTGCTTTTATTTTACTTACTCTATACTGCGTAATTCTTAATTTTGTCTGGTGTTTGGCAATCCATCCCCATTTATTTTGTTTTCTCTTTTCTTTTTTTGTCGGTAGTGGGTTACCCTTGGCCTTTTTGTTTATGTCTACGATACTGTCGTCTGGCAGCTTTAGACTATTCTCAGAAATTGTCAATGCAATACCAAGCTTTTCTTTCTTTTTCTCTTTTACTCCATGTAAAGGTTTCGGGTACCTACTTACTGTATATTGTGTATATCTTTGCTCTATTGTAACTAAAATACAAATTCAAAATAAAGTATTCAAAATACAAAAAAACAATATTACTCGTAGAATACAGGATTCCTATCTTTACCAGAGTGATGTAATGGCGTGCACAAACTGCTGATTTCTGACTAAATGTAAGCAGGACATGCTGTGCTATCAAGAACACGGTTGAGCTGGCCGGAGCAAAAGTGAACTGTCCAGGCCGGGCCATCTGGGGAGCTGGCACTGAGAGCCTCCACGGAAGCACAAATCATCCTCTCAGAAACAACCACTGAGCAAAACAGATTTCCTGTGACAACTACATCATGCTGTTAATCTCACAGCTATCACCTTAATCCTCATGGTTAATTGTTTTTCAATCAAAAAGTATTTAACCTACCTCGTATTTCGAAATTATGTTTAATCTCATTCTCTTTGCACGTCATGTCTGTGTGCCCTCCGATGTTAACCCCGTAGTCCTCGTGGAACTTCCCGTCACTCAGCTTGTTGTGGAGCTGGTTTGGCGTGGAGTTAAGGGAGTGTCCACATTGGTCATCGTCATCGCAGTCGTAGTCATCGAGAATGGGGGTCTCCCGGATGGGCATACCGATGACGGAGTTCCCGTGCTGGTGTGCGTTTCGAGAGCCCCGGTAGCTGTCTCTGCCCTGGGGTCCCAGTAGAACAGAGGGGATGTAGTGGATCTCATGGGTGGCCTCGGTGCTGGCGCTCTTCTGTGGGATACGGCGGCGCTTGCACCACCGGTGGCGCGTATACAGGACGAGGGTGAAGAGGAGAATAAGGAGGAGGAGAGCAATGAGGCCTCCCTGGATAAGAGAACAGGAGAGAAAGAGAATTAGAAAGGAAGCACACAAGAAGAAAAAAAATGCTTTGATCACACTTAATTGGTCATTTCAGATTGTACACAACAATACAAACACCGTATACCTATAACAATAACAATGATTGCTCCAGTGTCACTTATATTAGGTTGAATGGCAATGAGCACCAATTACTAGCTATTGAAAGAGTTCTAGCACTTCATTACATGGTTAGTTCTCCAAATAAGAAGAGGCAGGTACAATCAGAGACTAAATCATTTGTTCATTTGCTGCTGACAAGTGCATTGTGTAAGTAGAACAGTATGTATCACTTGAAAATGTAGCAGGCACAGCAATAAGGCCAATCTAGCAGATTCTTCTTTATGAAGGAGAGGTTTTCAAACTGTGTGCTTAACATCAAACAAAGTGAAACAACTGTGCCACAAACACCCCTTGTATCCACAAATATACATCATACAGTATGTAAAACCTGTACGAATGCATCGTGTTACTATTGTTGTTCTAATAATGTGTCTTACTCTAATTTGGATGATTTAATTAAAATGACTGTACAGCTCATACAGATTTATTACCAGATACACTGCTTCATATTTATTCAAATGCAAAATTGGTGATGTACAGGAGATAGCCATTATAAACGTATATAGGCTACATGCAGGCAAACATCATAAACACAAAATTATAACCAAGAAAATCACGACAGCTTATGATGATTATAGAAAGGCTATACGAGTAGCGATTGGGTTTCTGTTATCGTGTCCATTCTCTCTCTTTATAGTTGCTCTCATGCACAGAAATGAATCAGAAATCCTTTTCTTTGTAGAAAACTGCTGCAACTGGCCTCCTATCTTCAGAGTGTCACCAGGGATGCACCTTTCTTTTTTCTCCTATGGTCCTTTCTCCTTCTTTTTTGTTGTCATGTAAATGCACCAGAGCATCACATTTATCCACGCTTCATTGGATATCTCACCATCACAGAAACATCAAACACCCTGCCATACATGCTGCGACTGGATGATAAGGTAAATCCATATGCACGGACAGAATGCTGGAAAGACAGGGAGGCCATGACTTATGCTTAGATTTTTCTACAATGACAAGCCAATAGGTGAGACGAAGTGTTTGATTCAGCAGGACACAAAGACCTGAAGGCGATATATATTCACATTGTCAAAAAGAAAATGCAAGGTCAGCATTTTTGTGTGACATATTTAAAGATGTGGTGATATTCCCAAAAGTACACACGGATGCCCATATGCATACATTTCAGCCACAGGAGCGTGAACATAGAGAACAGTACATACTGTACACAAACAGCACACACGTATGAAAATAAGCTCAAGACAGAATAATGCATAAAATCCTAAAGGGGTCATTCATCACAACATTTAAAATTCCATCTTCATGAAGAAAAACAAACCCCTTTGAAATTATAACTCATGCACTGCTGGGTGTCCATAAATCAAACAATGCTGAGAGGGGAGGGGCGCAGAGAGCACCGGTGCCACGGACAAACTTGTTCATTAATCTCCAACAGGATGGCAGCTTTGCAGAAATGCACTCCCGCAAACTCCCCTTTGTCTGCACTTTTACATAAATTCCCCTGAAGAATGGCTAAAACATATGAAGGCTAATGTTTCATTTTAGCAACAAAGTGATAATGGAGTGACATTGTATGACTCTGCAGTACCACTGAGAGAGACTGCAATGAAAAACAATAAAGTGTGGAAATCTCTGTTCCAAGAAGCCGTTTTATCAGCCACAAATGTAAGACATAAATATGTTCAGTAGCTAGGCAATGTCTTGGATCATCTGTACACTGCTGTAACACGGCAGTTGTCACTGGATACTAAAGAGGAAATTGTCCATTTGTCATGGAAATGTCAAGTAATTATTCCTTTTACAATGACACCATGCACTGCCAGGACACACTTGACATTTAAAACCTTAATTATCATCCGTTTACATTTAAATACTGCAGATTTGGTGCACAAGTACAGTTACAGTATAGACAGTCTTAAGGTTTTACAAAGTACAAAAAGTCCTACTAAAAAAAGCTATATATATCTCATGTCAGCTTTTGCCGTTTCATATTTTTGTTAATTTGACTGTCACATCAGCTTGCTCAAAATACTCTCAAATTCCCTTTCCTGTATCATGTCACAATGTTTTCCTTCACGCTTCCCATTGTTCTCGCTTTGTGTTCTCTCTCCTTCTCGATTACTGTGCGTCCCTCCGTCTCCATTACCCTTCATGTTTGATCACATCTTTCTTCCACTCTTCAGTACAATTGCCATATACATTCACAGTGGCAGATGTAGCCATGAGGGAAAATGGGTTTTCTGTTCATCCTCAGGCCTCACAAATCCCTGCTGCTTTAGTCCTAAGTGACTTCCTAGGAAGGAGGGTGGCTGGAAACCCCATGATACCACTCTGTTCTATAGTGTAGGTTTACTTCTGCCAGTAATTATTTTCTTTACTTTGCATTCTTGTTTTCCCTCAATAACACTCATTTCCCATCTGAATCACATTATTATTTTATTTTGCCTTTAGTTCTTTCTCTGCGTCCATTCTCCTGTTAATATTTTTCCTGTTGTGCCTGCCTTTTACCTCTCATTTTCTTCCCCATGTACCTCTCCTCTGTGGATCATGTTGCCCCTTTCCTTTCATCATTCCCTGCCAGGTTCACTTGCAATGCTTTCATCCCTTTTCACTTGCTTTTTATCCTCAGTCTTTTACAGATTGGATGTAGAGTTTGGGGATGAACGCCTGCAATGAATTATTCAGCACATTATCTCACCTTATTTTAACTGACATAATACCAGCAAATTCCTCGGATTAAGCTATTACCTTGGTTTAGCCATGACAGTCATCTTAAAGGAAGGAGCAGGACAGAAGCGTGTTTGTGCTTTCTGTTGGAGCTTATAATAACCAGTGATATTCATAAAGATATTGGCTGAGTGCATGACCTCCGAATGAATCTGGAAAGCAGAGAAAAAAAATCTATGAAAGTCTAACATTAAGGGAAAAAATATTCTTATAAATATTAATTCATGCTGCCACTGTTTACAGTACTGGACTTATTCTAGTGGTTACCATATTTCATAAAGCTCTGCAAAAAAACTAAATCCCTGGATGAGAAAAAAAATCAATGCTGCATATTAGCAAATATGAGCATAATAAATTCTAGTAATTTTGTTTACTCCCAAGAAAAAACACATTAGACTAAAAGATAACCCAATATGTGAAAGCAATGAACATAATGTGTCCAGATGGCTGGCTTAGACAACAATATAGTTAACATGGCCTCCAGAATTATTATTTTGTGTGTGATTGTATTAGTAAGACAGACATGTTAATGTCTATACAGTCACCTTAACATCACCACAGGCCCAGTAGAAACGTTTCAGTGTAGCTGTTCATGTTCAGGGCTAATGAAAACCGGCAGAAGTGTATTTGCTCAACAGTAACATATTACATTGGCACTTGGAAGTGGGGACTCCAGATATTTGGTGTTAATCTCACTAGTTTAAGTAGCAGAGAGTCATGACATGATAAACTCCCACCAATACCTCATTAAGACTATATCACTGAGTTTGATAGAAGTGAATGTGAATTAAAGATATTCCATGACTAATGACAATCGGACTGTTGTGTGTAATGTAAGAACATGAAAGGTTAGGGTTAGGGTTGTATTATGCTTTAGAATAAGCCATACATAAATGTCAACATTTCAGCTGTCACTGTTTAAAACTCATTAATACAAGCCTGAAGGTTGTACTTATAACTTGACTTATTTTCATACTCTATTCCCCTGCAATTTCCTGCTCGTTATTAAACTCTACTTTTTTTACGAATGATGAAAACAATATGATACGTACTTTTAAATTAATTTATGTTAAGCAAGGTGGTCTAGCTTGCTTAAAATATGCTGAACTTTGACTTTGAACATGTAGCAACATCCTGACTGTGTTTGTGTTGTTGTTTTGCTCCAACATTCTTTCAGCACATTTCTAATGTTGCGTCTAATCTCAGCAATGTGACAATAATTCTGATGACATTTATTCTGTTGCAGACAGATATAGCACTGTCACCATGGATCTCTAAGATGTGTCACCTCATTTTTGCGCATTCATAGAAAAGAGCAGATGTCTAGGCTGATTCCAGACTGAATTTCATATTCAAAACATAAGTTAGCGGTGTCATTGATTGCAAATATCATGTATTATAAATGCAATGCTAACTGCACAAGCATGTAGCAATGAAGAGATAATGTATATTCAGATAACATCCTAAATAAATGATTCCATAATGAAAATGCACATGACTAAAATTGAGATTAAGCACAACATACATTGTTCTTGGTACCAATTATCAAATAAATGATTTCGAAAATATAATGAATTTACTACAGTTGTGGTGTTTCTATTGTTAATGTCAGAATTAATATATGGTTGTCACATTTTTCTGTTGCTGTCCTTTGTTGTTTCAGGAAAATAAAACAGTTTGAGGTTTTAAAAAAAGAAAAAAAATGTTGTGAGGCCTGAAAAAAAGAAAGAAAGAAAAATGGTATCATACATGATTGAAATGGGTTACTAAAATAAAAACACTGACATTGGTATTTATGAAACAAAATCAGTTACAGTATATTGTTGATATATTTCTGATCATCGGTTAAACCACTACAGTGGATAGAAAAACATCATTATTTCATTGTACAGTATGAATACTTTAGCACAACCGGGTCCCTTGTGATCCTAAGTGTCTCTGTGCATCAACACAACACGACTCGGAGCAAACACATCCAACACATGCTCTGTGGTTTAGCCACCATCTGTGCACAGTGGAGGCTGGAGCTCACTGAACCATGGTTACCATCCACTTCCTGTCCAAGGGAAGAATGGACCATGGCAATCTTTATTGTTTAGAGCAAATGCTCCTGTGAAAAAGCCACATGCTGAATTCAGATAGTCAAACAGAAACTACAATAACATATGACTTGCATGTAACTGTAGCAAAAACGAGCGACAGATGACGGAGTGGATACCCATGCAGGTTACACAGCAATATGCACTCAAGCACAAGTGTACATACAGCACATACACACACAAACCATAAAGGCCTGTTTCTGTGTTAATGCCACTGTGTGTCAAGGAAAGAAAAATTACCTCTCCCTTTATTGTGTCAATGTTTTTATTTTATTTGTCAGCCTCCCACTCTTTTTACACCAATACCCCTCATGGTGTTGTGTTTCTTGCATCCCTCTCTCCCAGCAGGAAGTTAAAGTGGCATGTGCACTAGCATCTGCTCTCCGTTCTCTCTGTCCAACTACAAGTCGCAGCGTGAATGACAGGAGACGGCTCTGTGGTTAATGTGTTCCCTTGTCTAATTCACTGTGGAGAAACTATACCCGTCATTACCTGGAAACATGGAGGAATAACTAGTCACAGAATAGGGACACAGTGTAGCTCGACAGATAGTACCTTCATGCCAATTTCAGACAACAACATATTTTACTCAGTGTCAGATTCGGCGATGGTTGAGCTATACATTCTTGCCATGACTTTGCAAAAAGACACCCAAGACTACATAATGGTGGAAAGGATGATGTTGTCTGCTACAACGTATATGATGTCATAAGGAAGGAGGCGCTAGGGACATACTTACCACAGGAAAATAAACAATGGCACCCAAGGTAAGTCGTAGTGAAAAAGCATTACAAAAAAAGACTGTCAACGTTCACGTTCCATGCCCTACCCCAGTGTCATTGACATGGTGTACTCTAAGCCCTGCATAAAAGGATGTTTGTTGACATATTTTAAAATAGAACGTGACCCGTTTCCAAATAGCCTTTGTAAAAAAAAAAAAGTTAAATCTCAATAATCTATTCTAAAATGACAGCCGCCCTATGTAAATCACTTGAGAAATTACACTGTCCAAAAGCCCATACCTAATCATAAAATCAGATTACACTGTGATTGAAAACTGAATGAAAGTCTCCCACAGCTGA